CCTCCCATTTCACCTGGGAGGTCCCTGCCTGGTACCCAGCACCTGCCACCTAGGGTGGGAGAAGGGCGGTCACTCAGCCTGCTGTCAACTTTCACATGAGCCCCGCCGCCTTGCCCCCACCATGGTGTTCTTCCCATTGTCTAGAAGAAGGCAGCCCATCCCAGATGAGCCAGGGAGCACCAAGGAAGAGTGTGGGGGCAGCAACAGCACAGAGGGACCCCAGGGGGACATGAGGGCTCCTGTGAGAGGCACCGCCTGGGCTGAAGCTCAAGGCCTTTTGTCAAGGGTGGAGACACAGAAGCCTGCTTGGGAGAGTGGGTGGGCATGACATGGGGAGTCAGGCATGAAAGTCCAGAAAACTTTCTCCCAGTTAGTTTTCTCATCTTGGAGGCAGAGCATGTGCCTGTGAGGTTACAGGATGACCCCTCCTCCTGCTGTTTCTCCATCTCTGTCTCCTCATACATCAGCCAAGCACTGGTGTCCTTGTCTGCCAGCTCTCCCAGGTCCCTCCCTGCCACTAGTCTGCCTCCACAAGCTCCTCTGCCTCAGCTCTGACCCCTCTCGCTGATGGCCTCAGATGCCTCCAGGCTCACTGTGGCTGGGACCACAGGCTCCACACACCCCCCTCATTGGCTCTTCACTTTTCTCTATCCAGTCAAGGCCATAAGCTCTTTTTCTGGGAGGTTGTGGGGCGGCCTTGTGAGGCCGCGGCAGCTGGGAGGAAGGTGCGGGGCAGCTACCTGCGTCAGAGAGAGCCTGTCCCGACTCTTTCAGCCAGCCCTGCCAGGGACACTGCCCTGGCCTGCCCCAAGAGACAAGTGCAGGCAAATGGAAGAGGGAGGGAGAAGGGAGTAAAGGGCACAGAGGGTGGCCTGACTTGCTCAGGAGGACTTGCACTTGGTCCTGAGCTGCCCTGGGACAAGTCTGGATGTAGGGCCTTGGTTGGATTTAGCAGGGGAAAGGGTCCTGCCTAGTGGAGCCGAGAGAGAGGATGAAAAGTGGTAGGGAAGCCACCCGTTCCTTTGGTGGCCCAAAACAGTACCTTGGGCAGGGTGATATGACACTTCCTAAGAAATGAGAAGTCATCTCCCTATCAAGGTAGATTCAGGGCTGTCGTCCTGAAAAGGTGCACAGTGAGAACACCCACTAGCATCCAGATACCAAGCCATGGCATGGGACAGAGCTAGCACCAAATTATAGGGATGGGCAAATCGTCTGGCTTGGGGGTGTCCTGTCACAGGTTTGGTGGCTCAGCACCACTTCACAGATGAGGCTCAGAGAGTGGGACTCATGGGCCAGGAGAGCCTAGAAGAGTTTGGAAGAAGCTCAAGTGCCCAGAGAAGGAGGAAGGCTGGAAGACCTGATCAGGCGGGAATTCTCCTGCCTTTTGAAGGTGGCTGGAGGTGGAGGCTTTGGGTGATGTGGCATCCATCTTGTCTTGTTCTCCACCTTCTGCATGGGGTAAGTGGGGAGGTGCATAGGTCTGCAGTTAGAAAAGTTTCTCTCTGTCCATGTCTTCTTGAATTCAAGTGCAAGCCCTGGCCATGAGAGATCTTGGCGTGTTGGACATGGAAAGGGTAGAGGCTGGGGCTGCAGGGCGTTGGCTGCCCACCTCGGAGAGGATGCTGGGGTCTGGGGCTTGGAGTCAGTCATGAGGCTAAGAGGCCGGGCAGGCACCATGTGCATGGCTGATCCAAGTTCAAGGCCTCTTCTGTGCAGCCAGAACCATACTGGTGCCTGGCCACCTGCACCCCAGTCTCCGTGATGTTGTACCTGGGGTCAGCAGGGGTACTGTGCAGCCACAGCTGGGTGCTTAGGTTCTAGCTGGGTCCACCACCGTCTGAAAGTGTTCGAAGTGTTAGAAGCTGGCCTCCCCCAGCTGAGTGAAGCAGGAGGATGGCATGCTTACTGCGGGCAGGTTGCCCTGGTGTCAGAGCCTGCGTCTGCAAAGTGTGCTCCTTCGTCCTACTGTGTCCTTGTGGTTTTGAGCTTCTAGGCATGTGTCTCCTGCCATGTGCATGTCTGACCCAACTGAGAACTCAACCCACAATGCAGACAGGGGCAGCTTTGCAGGATCGAAGATGGAAGATGATCATACACAGAGGAGTAAAATGTTTTTGTATACATCCTTTAGATGTTTCTTTTCCTGTGCATTTTTATGTAAATATAGTTTAAGGAAATGAACATATCCTACAGATATTGTTTTAAAAGCTGCCTTTCACTTAATAATATATAGAAACCAGTATACATGAAAGTTTGTTAAATATTGCATATATCAATATCATTTGTAATGGCTGCCTACTATTTGCTTGAGCGGTAGATCGTATGTTTAAAGACAACTACTGGGAATTTATATTATTGCCAAATTTTCACCATCATGTTCAACACTGAGATGACATCCTCTTGTATACTGAGTTCTACTTATGTGCTTGTCTCCTTAGGAAAAGTTACTATGAAAGGAATGGCTGGATCAATGGCCTTGCCCTCTCTGAGGCTCTCAGTGTACAAGGAGACTTGTCCTGCAAAATGATGCCCTGACTGACCCGCCAGCCAAACCTGTTTGAGAGCCTTCCAGGAAAGAACCTTCTTCAGTAGTCCACACCCCATCCTGCAAAGCTGCCCCTGTCTGCAGTGTGGGTTGAGTTCTGAGATGGGTCAGACTAAGTGGGGGGATGGTAGGTCTGAGAGGAGAACTGGGTCAGAAGACTGGTGTTGATATTGTGTAAGTCAGGAGCATGCCCCCCACCAACCTCTAGTCCGGTGGCATAAATGGGGGCAGGAGGCAGGGGGTGGCAGGAGGGGACTGACCTGGCAGGGCCAGCTTCCAGGGATGCTGAGGTGTATGGTCCACTTGGAGCACAGTGTTGACACTGAAGTGTGAAGAGTGACTGGGTCAGGGGAGTTTTCCCCCAGTCTTAGAGACGGTAGGGAGCCAGCAGAAGCTGAGTGAGAAGCGAGGGCTGATGTGAGCCAAGAAGAATCAGAGGGCAGTGAGTGCTGCCAGAAGGAAGCACAGGTGGCAGCTGGCCTTCGAACTGTAGGTGTGAGGGGAGTGGTAAAGGGGAGGGAGAAGCTAACTGACTGGGATGCGGATTCAGACCTCAGGTGTGCATCCATCTGGCTGGGACTCCTCACCTAAAAGTCTCCATGTCATAAAGAGCTGCCATCTTCAGTCCCATGAGAAGATTTTTCTTCCTGACTCAAATTTATAGTCCCATCAAAAAAAACTTTTGACTTCTGAGACAAAACATCCGTCATGGTCTTTGCCTGATGAGGTAGGACAACAAACTGTGAAGATGGAGTCTGGAGCAGGACACAGCCAGCTCCACTCCCTTGTTGTGGGCTCTTGTGAGTGCCCCTGCCACTTTGGCCTGGGAGTCCCCTGTGGCCCCTCTGCCTGTATCATTGGTCATGTGCCTGCACCTGCCCTGATTTGGGAAGTAAGTGGCTTGTTTGGTTCTGATTGGACAGAAAACTTCTAGGCAGCGTAACCAAGAGGCTTGTCAAGGGGAAACTGATGAGTTTCCAACCAAGTAGTGGGAGGTCCTGAGCTGAGGCCCAGAAGAGTTAAGGGCCCACCCCCCACAAGGCCTGTCAGTCAGTCACCAGCCTGAGACCAAAATCTCAGGCTGCTCAATGGGCTGCTCCAGTGGCTGCTGGGATAGGCCAGTGGGCAGTGTGGTCCTAGGATCACCTCTGGAGTGAGCTATGACGTGGCAGCCTTAGTGCAGGGCTAGGCACGCGGGGCTCCCACTCACAGTGATGAGGTGCCGTTCCTGGCACGCGGCGTGCTCAGGCGTCCTTGGCTGCTCAGTCAGTGCAGTTTATGGGAAATCCAGGCCTTGCTGACGTGGCAAATTTGGTTTGCTCTTGGCGCCCTGCCCTTCTCTGCCCATTTTAGTGTGCCCCTGACCTCCGTGAAAACATGTCCCGGACTTGCCAGCTAGCAGCATGGCCCAACTACTCAGGCCCTGGCCCTGAAGGGGCCCAGAGAATGGCAGGCCTCTAAAAGGGAGACCCTTGTGCCTAGGACTGTGCGGGTAGAGCCAGGGGCCCTGCTTCCTGTCATGGCCACTCACTGAAGCCTCCTGCCCCTCTCCTGAGGCCCAAGGGACAGGCTGTGGTGGGTCAGTGCTTTGACTAAAGCCAACTTTGGTCAGTTCCATTCTGGAGAGCTGGCTTCCCCTCTCCAACCCCTCCTGGACCTGGGAGGCCTCAGAGACCACCACGGCCTAGCCCTCACAGGCCACAGAAGGGCAGCACTTGCCTCAGGGGCAGAGAGGCAACAACGAGGCTAGAAGACAAAGTGAGGAAGAGAAATCAGAGCACAGTACACCTCATCTGGTGCCCAAGGGCTTGCCCACTGGACACAGAGCCTACCCCTGAGCCACATAGGGCTGACACCTCCAGGCCGTGCTAAGGACAGGCTGAGAGTCGCTATAATCACTGTGCTAGGTTGTGCTGGGAAGTTGCAAGAATATTGGTGTCTTCTGTCCTCACAGCAGTCCTGAAGGTGGACTTTTTTTTAATTTCCATTTTATAAATGAGGACACTGAGGTAAGTCAGAGGGAGAGGTTAGATGACCCGTTCAAGGTCTGTCAGATGGCCACTAAGGAGTGAGAGAGACAGCCCAACCCCAAAGCGACTGTCCCCCAGCCTCTATCCTTCCCCCATCCCTTCTCCTGGATGCACTAGTATCAACCACTGCTGCCAACACTCACCAGGCATGAGTCTGGCCATCAGAGTTCTCTAAGAAACTTGGTGGTCTGTCTGTCTCAGCCATCTCCCCAACAGTCAGGCCATGCGTTCCCCCAGGGTGAGTGGCCCTGGGCAGATGCAGGATGTGCCATCCAGAGAGGCCCTTCGGCCAGACTTCACCAGCTCTGGCTTCCCCATGCCCAGAGGGCAATCTGGAAGGTCTCAGTGTGCCAAGGACCTTATGGTGATGAGCCATTATAAATACAAGAAGTGACAAACCATGTGCTTGCCTTTGCCCTCAGGAGCCCTGTTGAATCTACTGAGAAGGGACGTTCAGAGTGAACACCATGAGCATCTCAGCTCTTGGAGGAAGCAGCAAAGGTGAGGTCTGGGCGCCTCCTGGGCCTGGACTTGGCCACAGGGCAGCAGAGTGAGAGCAGTGTATGGGGAGGGCTGCAAGCAGGCCTCGGGGTCCTGGGGTGGGGCACCCCTGCTGAGGCCGCCTGGCCTTGCCACCGCCAGGGAAGCCTCTCCCAGCAGGCCAGGAGGAGCGCAATACTGTCCTCAAGCAGATGAAGGTCCGCACCACGTTGAAGGGGGACAAGAGCTGGATCACCAAACAGGATGAATCGGAGGGCCACACCCTGTAAGTCTGGGTGGCTGGGAGGGCCGGCGATAGGTTGGGTGTGGGATGGCACTCCATGGGTTACACTAAACCAGTCCCAGGGTGGGAAAGGCCCGGTGTCAGAGTGTGCAATGTGGATGTGGGCCAGGGAAGGAGAAGGTGCGATGGGAATGGTGGGCCAAGTTCCTGAGGTACATGTAGCGGTCCCCTTTTGTGTTCCCTCTTTGCTCAGTGAGCTGCCCTCCTGCCGGACTCGTACCACCTCGCTTTCATCAGTTGGGGAGGTTCCGAAGGCCAGGTGAGAGGTGCTGCCCAGATGGCAGGTGGGTGGGCCCTCACTGCAGTCGTCGGGGGACAGGGAGGCCTTTGAACTCCACTGGAAGGACTGCTTTTACACTTCCTGGGAAAAGGAGCACAGGAATGACTGGATGCAGGTCCCCTGGGGCCAGCTGCCTCTCCAGCTACACCTCCGTGACTTCAGCTGTGAACTGAGAACAAAATTGTCACTGAACACTCCCAAAGGGGTGCAGACAATGTCTCTGAGATCCTCTGGGGCCTTCAAGAGTCACACATGACTCCCCTGCATAAGTGCCAGGGCAGACTCAAACACTTGCTCCAACTGTCTCCGAGTTCAATATGACATGTTTTGACAGCTGGCTCTCCTCTCTATTTCAAGGAATTTTGCATAGAGGTGTCCAGGGCGGTTCTGAAGTGTCAGCACATCCTGCCCAGATCAGGGGTAACTACTCCTAAGAAGTAGTGGGTTAGCGTTAGGGGATAAGGAATTGGTTGGGGGGGGGCGCTAAATTCAGCCTTGATCCTTGTTCCAAAGAGCCAGCAGTTGGCAGTTGAGGGCAGTGGCCACAGCTGGAAGGGTAGGGTCCAAGTTCAGTGCTAGCCCAATGGGCTGCCTCTGGTCACAGTGGCCTTGCCCAGAATCTCTCAGTGACTCAGCACCTGTCACCTACTAGGTCCTGTACTGGGCACAGAGGACACAACCCTTTCCTCAGGGAACTGACATCCTAGCAGGGTAAAGGGGCCTGACCCAGGTAGAGAGATGAGCTTAAAAGATAGAATTGCCAATTGTGATAGCAGTCAGCAGTTGGCAAAGGCCTGAGCACAGTTCAAAGATAATCTACTCATTGTGGAGTATGTTTACCTTGGGGGTGCAGTTCTCAGCCTGGGCTTTGGTTTGGAAAACACATGGGATAAGTGACATTTTTGCTCTGCTCCCAGCCCAAGTGAGTTGTGGGGATGGAGGGCAGTGCCCCTGCCACCTGCCCATGTGGGTCCCTTTAAGACCATCCCGCTACTGGAGCCTAATCTTCCCTGCCCACAGCCTCACTCTCTGAGCACTCCCTGCCCCCCAGGCAGGGAGTGAAGGCATCCCACCGGCTGGAGGAGGGAGGCTAGAGCAGAGTGGGAGGTAAAGGATAGCTGGCCTTCGCTGGCTCCTGCCTGGGCTCCACGCTTGGACCCTAATGAGTCTTCCTGGAGAGGACTGGGCAGAGTGGGGCATCAGATCAGGTTAGGGGTTCTACCTGACATGGCTTCAGCCCCCAGCCTCTGACCACAGAGCCTCAAGCCTGAGCTGGGTCAGCTCTGAGGATAGAGGTAGGGAGTGTTGTCATCCATCCTAGAAGAACACCTGCTCAGGGGAGCACTGGGGCCTGGCAGAACAGGGAGAAACCTGACTTTGGATGGGATACCTCTGTGTTCATGCCCAGCCATGGAACATACCTTCCTGGGCACCAGCTGTGAGCCAGGGCCCAGAAGAATCAGCCTTTCCTGAGGAGCATGAGGGAGACAGGCAGACCAGGACAGACACCCTGGCTAGGGGTGCAGATGTGGCTGGCTGTCTTGAGAAGCAACCGGCGCCTCTTGCTCCCCTTGTTCTGACCACACTGGGACACCCACCAGCCCACCCCCTTTACTGTCATCGGGCAGCCTGGGCCCACTCGTGAGGCTTCAGTTCACATCCTACCTTCTTTTCCCTTGGCAGGCCCCTGAGCACAAGGGCTCCCACGGGCTATATAATCCGGTAGGTGACCACAGGAGCCCGCCCGCCCGCCTCCCCATGCCCACCCACATGGCCCTGGCTTCTCCCAGGGGGCTCACCAGGCTGCTTCTTCTGGACTCTTTTTCAGTGGAGTGTTCACCAAGCCTGTGGACAGCTCGTCCCAGCCTCACCAGCACTTCCCCAAGGCCAATGGAGCTCCAAAAAGGTGTGTTCACAGGGCGCTGGCCAGTTGTCCAGTGGGAGGTATGGGAGTCCCCTGCCTGTCACTGATGGGGTGGTAGGTGTCAGGTATCTTCCTGTGTAAGGAAGGGCCCTGGACCACACGACCAGTGGCCTTGTCCCTGTGCCAGTCGTGGCACAGGGTCACCAGGATGGAGTCACAGGGAAGAGGCTGCGCAGAGCCCAGCCTTGCTGATCAGTTGTGCTGAGTGGTGTGCTTTGGGCTGCCGCCTTCTCAACAGAAAAGCAGGACCAAGGGGGCTGGGCCTGTCTATGGCAAGAGGGTGGCCTTGCTTAGGGTGGTGCACATGTCCTGGGTATCTGGCAGGGCTTAGAGCAAAGAGGAAAGGGCACCAGCACCCACTTGTCCACCTGCCACATGCCTGCTGGGCCATGTAGGCAAATGTGGAAGCAAGGAGGGGTGGGGGATGCGGTCTGCGGGTACACACCTGAAAACTCCTTGTCTCTCTAGCATGGCCAGTCTGGGGAAAGCAGGTCCCACTGGCCCTCCCCGCCCTTCCTCCTCTGGCTACAAGATGACCACGGAGGATTACAAGAAGCTGTGAGTAGGCAATCGCAGACCCAGCTTGGTTCCCTCTTCCCAGGGCCCAGACATGGGGCAAGCAGGCAGCTTGCCTCTGAGCACAGTGCAGACTGCTGTCCTGCCACTCTGACCTCCCTGCCAGTTGCCACTGTGGCCTGGACCCCACCAGAGAGTGGCGAGCCCCAGAAAGTTGGACAGTGTGCACCTTGTACTTCTGATCTCAGGCAAAGTAGGGGCTGTAGGAAGCTTGCGGAAGGAGCTGGTGGGTCTGGAGAAAGCATCTTGGGTCATGGCCCTGACTGTTTCCTGGAATGGGCCAGGCTGGCCTAGCACCTGATGAGTCCAAGCATGCTGCTGGCCCTGGCAGCCTTTCAGCTAAGGGAACTTCGTAACTAAATGTGGGTTGCTTCTTGTATGTCAATCTTTGGGGTCCCCCTTGGAGCTCCCTATGTGGCTGCACTCAAGGCCCCCTCCTGTGGACCCAGCAGCACAGCGTATGGACAGATGTGGATTGTGCCTGCATTCCCAGGAACCCAACATCTTTATCTTGCTTGTCCCCTGTCACCATCATCCACTGACATGGAGCAACCAGGGAATCTCTCTGGAGAAGGGGTTGAGGCTTGAACTGGGTCTTGGGGGACAGTAAGGGTGGGAACAGGGAGAGATAGCAAGTCTAGCTTTCCAAGAGGAACGAGTGGCTTGAACAGAGTCCAGGGGCAGCCAGGCCAACACATGCTGTTGTTCTTGTAAGTTAGGAGGCCAAGCTTCAGAGGGCATGACAGAGAATGGTGTGAGGGTGGTTGATGGAGGAGGGGCCATGACTGGCAGCATCTTCAATCCCCCACCCCAGGGCCCCCTACAACATCAGGCGCAGCTCAGCATCAAGAGCTGCTGAAGAGGAGGAGGTGCGCTTCTCTTCTGATGAGCAGAAACGGAGGTAATGGTGCCTGCTGGGTGTCCCACGGACAGGGCAGGGCCCAAGTCTCCACCGCCTGGGGAGACAGGGATTGTCCATGACATGTGGAGCATCTGTCTTGTCTGTTGGCGGAGGGTGAGCACCAGCAACAGGAGGATTCCTGGAATCCCTGAACTACCCACTCAGTGCTGGGCCTGCCCAGGGACCCCCTCTTAGGAAATTTCTATGAGGGCAGAACCAAGGTAATGAGGAATTTCTCTATCAGTTTGTTCAAAAGGGTCCTGAGCAAATTGGACTGAAGTAGGCAGTGCTTGGTACCTAGGGACGAGCCACCTGCATGTGGCTGGGGACAGGACCAGGCTCTAGAGGGGCCCATGCCCCTTGTCCCAAAGTGAGGGCTGGGTGCTTGGGCACAGCTAGGCCCCAACCTCAGCCTGACCCCCAGTGCCAACATCTGCTGGCCTGTCCTTGACGTTGGAAACACACCGAAGGCCCCAATGCTGAAGGCTCAACAGCTGGGCAATGCTAAGGGCAGTGTCAACAGTAGCAGAGAGAAGAGCTAAGAGCTCCAGGGCCAGGCTGCCAGGCATTGACTTACCACTGTGCAGCCCGCCAAGTGTGGGCTCTCGGGCAGGTCACTAAAGCTTTCTTCTGCTTCCTGGGTAGCTTCCCTGCCTCATCCATTAGCTGCCCCCTCTCTGTGCCACCCCAGGTCCGAGGCTGCCAGCAGTGTGGTGAGGAAGACAGCTCCTCGGGAGCACTCCTACGTCCTGTCAGCGGCCAAGAAGAATGCCCGGTGAGCAGCTCAGCAGGGGACCCAGCAGGGCCACCCAACCTGCTCCATACTCTGGGCCAGGTCCTTTCCCCTCAGGGCTCTGCTCTTCCTCTGCCTGTGACAGTGGGTTGACAGGGACCCCATGTGTACTTTCTGGAAACCTGAGAGGTCTGGCTGCTGCCATCAGGGCAGGCAGGGTGCTGGGGATGATGTCACATGTGTGTGGCTTCTGCAAACATGTCGCCTTTCTGCCTTCTTCAGCAGTCCTGCCCAGGAGACACTGGCCCCGTTCATTGCCAAGAGGTAAGTGTGGGCAAAGGGAGGGACGCTCTTGTACTCATACGGGTGGAGTGTGTGGAGAGTGGGTGAAGGGGGGATGGAGTTGCTGTCCTTGAGCAGAGGGAGTTGTGCAGAATTGGCGGCTTCTGTTTGGAAGCCAAGGAAGCCCATGGTTGGCCATGGTGGCACAGAAGACCCTGGCAAACAATGCTGCATAGGCAGGAGCTTGGCTCAGAGAACATGGCTGGTGATGAGAAACTTCCATTTGCCAGTGGCCAATAGGGCCAGGTCCCTGACCCAAGATGGAGCTGTAGTGTTTCTTGGAAACACTGGGATTTTGTACTGGCGTTTTGCACACTGGCCTCTGGGATTTTGCAGCAAGAGTAGGTACCAGGGAAGAAAGCAGTTGTTCCTTTGCACTCCTTCCCACCCTACCAGGGGTTGGCTGGAAAATGCCTTGACAGGAGGGGTAATTGAGAGCCCCTGCCTGACCAGGCCCTTCGGAGAGACCATGACATAGGAGATGGGTCCTAAAGGCTGAACAAGAGCCAGTGGGCCACGATCAGGACATCAGGATGCTGCCGCTGAGTGACAGGACAGGACATCTTCTGGGAGAGAAGAGTACTTGGGGAGGACAGGGAAAAAAAAAACCTTCTGGAAAGCTGAATATTAGGGCTATTCTGTTGGATAGAGAGGGAAGACATCTATGACAAGCTGAGGACTGAAAAACAAAGGGAACTTGGCATGCCAAGTGTTCCAGGCAGAGGACCCAGCTGTGCAGACTCAGAGGTGGGAAGACCAAAAATGCTGACCAGAATACAGCCAGCATGATCTTGGAGACAAGTTCCCACCAAGAGTCTGTTTGTAGTACTTTGTCATAGCAGCCTCAGGAACCTCATAGAGCCATCCCAGGCCTTTCTCCCAGCTTCTGGTGTCGCTGGCAGTCCTTGCCTTGTAGACTCATCACTCCTATCTCTGCCTCCACTGTCACAATACCTTCTTTTCTCTGCGTGTCTGTGTCCAAGTTTCCCTTGTATAAGGACACCAGTTGTTGTATTTAGGGTTCATCCTACCCCAGTATGACCTCACTGTAACTTGATGACAAATTGATTGCAAAGACTATTTCCAAATAAGATCATGTTGCCAGGCTCCAGGCAGACATGAATTTTGGCAGGATACTTCAACCCCATGTCCTGTCCTTATCCCAAGCTAGAGTCACTCAGCCACCAACATGACTGAAAGAAAGAATATCGTTCAGGCACCAAGTGCATCTGTTTCTCTTCTTGCCCAAAGGGTTGACGTGGTGGATGAGGATGGGTCTTCTGAGAAAAGCCAGGACCCACGTGCTCTGACAAGATTCCCTGCTGGCTCAAGCAGGTAATCAATTGCTTACCTCTGCCCATGGCTGGAGACTGCCAGGTCACCTCCCTACAGGGCCTTAGGGTCAGCATCCCCATGTGCCCAGTGACAGGATGGGACACTGAAATCAGTAAGGGCCTGTCTGGCTCAATGTCCTGAGGTTGAAAAGGGCAAAACAGCCTGGTCTTCTGGGAGAGAGTGCTTCAGTCTTGTCTTTCTGGTACTTATCTGTGTCAACTTAAACCTTGAATCACTGAGCACTGTAGTGGCCAACTGTGGGATGTGAGATGGTCTGCGGCCAGGGTACTCATTCAAGGCTTTCCTGTAAGTTGGTCAAGTTCACCCTGCCAATGCTGTCCTCTGCCTCCTTCTCTGCCAGTGCAGACAGGGGCAGAGCCAAAGTGTCACGGGCCATTTGGGTGGAGCTCATGCTGAGCCCAGGTGGGTGCCAGGAACTGGCTCTGGCCCATGAGCCCGAGATGGGAGGCTCTGGCAGTGGGGTGACAGGGCAGGGGCAGTCTGAGCGCCGGTGATCTCACTCCAGGCAGGGCTCTGATTTGCCCTGATTTCTGAGCCCCAAAGTGTTGGGCAGATAATGGTGCTCTCTTTTGTCTGCAGGCAAAAGGCAATCAATACCTCTTTGTACTCTGAGCTGAATCATGCTAAGTCCTGCGAGAATGCCACTGCCCCTGGGGCTGTTATGGGTCTTGTAATGCCACTGCATGTCCACACACCCCTCCTTGACTCAAGCCCCTCAACCATTTGTATGTGACCTTGGTCCTTGGGGCCACCTCTTCTGTGCCAGGAGAGAGATAAGATAACCTGCTACAGCCCAGACTGGTGGAGGAGAAGGAAAACTGCAGGAGTTCAAGGCCAGCCGCAGGTCACAGCCAGAGCAACAGGAAAATTTAAGAGCTCTTCACGAGGTAGCATTGATGGGACATAGTGACTAATGGAATACAAGGGCTTAGTATGCCAGCATTGCTGGAACAAAGGGTCACAAACTGGTTGACAAAAATAGCCAAATGTATTGTCTCCCAGTTCTGGAGGCTGGAAGTTTGAAATCAAGATGTCAGCAGGGTTGATTTCTACTAAGACCTCTCTATTTGGTGTATAAATGGCTGTCTTCTCCCTGAATTTCTTCACAAGGTCTTCCTCAGTGTGTCTGTGTCCTGACCTCTTCTTCTTATAAGGACATTAGTCATATTAGATTAGGAGCCACCCTACTCCAATATGACTTCATCTTAATTATATCTGAAACATCCTTATTCTAAATAAGCTCATGTTCTGAGGTACTGGGGATTAGGATGTAAATATATAAATTTTGGAGGGGACAAAATTTACCAAAAACAAAGTACATTTCTGAAAAGTGAAAGTGAAAGTCTCTCAGTCGTGTCCGACTCTTGTGACCCCATGGACGATACAGTCTATGGAATTCTCCAGGCCAGAATACTGGAGTGGAAAGCCATTCTCTTCTCCAGGATCCCCAACCCAGGGATCTCCTTAATTTCTGTTTTGGAAAAAAAAAAAAGCAATTAATGTTGGTTTCACATGCTTTCTTAAAGCACAGAGGAGAACTAGGTTGTGCTATCAATTGAGAGGCATTTTAATATTTATTCCAGAAAACTCCTTTGGATGTTTACTGCCCACCACCTGGCTGTCGCAGCAAAGTGGCTGTCTGTCTTGGTCGGGCCGCCATAACCAAGTCCCCCACCATAAGTATGCAACAGTGGTTTGTCAGAAAGGCTCTTCCACTAGTACTTGCAAACCACAAGGTAGCTTCCCCATGAACTGCTGGATGGTCCCAGGCAGCCTTCCCATCTGACGCTACCCCCATGAGGCCCTGCAGTGACTCAAGGGGTCACCATCAGCCCCCCCACACCCAGCTCCTGCCTGCCTCAGTTCAGTTCAGTCCCTCAGTAGGGTCCAACTCTTTGCGACCCCATGAACCACAGCACACTAGTCCTCCCTGTCCATTACCAACTCCTGGAGTTCACCCAAACCCATGTCCATCGAGTTGGTGATGCCATCCAACCATCTCATCCTCTGTCATCCCCTTCTCCTCCTGCCCTCAATCTTTCCCAGCATCAGGGTCTTTTCCAGTGAGTCAACTCTTCGCATCAGGTGGCCAATGTATTGGAGTTTCAGCTTCAACATCAGTCCTTCCAATGAACACCCAGGGCTGATCTCCTTTAGGATGGACTGGTTGGATCTCCTTGCAGTCCAAGGGACTCTCAACAGTCTTCTCCAACATCACAGTTCAAAAGCATCAATTCTTCAGTGCTCAGCTTTCTTTATAGTCCAACTCTCACATCCATACATGAACACTGGAAAAACCATAGCCTTAACTACATGGACCTTTGTTGGAAAAGTAATGTCTGCTTTTTAATATGCTGTCTAAGTTGGTCATAACTTTCGTTCCAAGGAGTAAGCGTCTTTTAATTTCATGGCTGCAACCACAATCTGCAGTGATTTTGGAGCCCAGAAAAATAAAGTCAGCCACTGTTTCCACTGTTTCCCCATCTATTTCCCATGAAGTGATGGGACTGGATGCCATGATCTTTGTTTTCTGAATGTTGAGCTTTAAGCCAACTTTTTCACTCTCCTCTTTCACTTTCATCAAGAGGCTCCTTAGTTTAAAAAAAAAAAAAAAAGAGGCTCCTTAGTTCTTCTTCACTTTCTGCCATAAGGGTGGTGTCATCTGCACATCTGAGGTTACTGATATTTCTCCCGGCATTCTAGATTCCAGCTTGTGCTTCTTCCAGCCCAGCGTTTCTCCTGATGTACTCTGCATATAAGTTAAATAAGCAGGGTAACAATATGCAGCCTTGACATACTCCTTTTCCTATTTAGAACCAGTCTGTTGTTCCATGTCCAGTTCTAACTGTTGCTTCCTGACCCACATATAGGTTTCTCAAGAGGCAGGTCAGGTGGTCTGGTATTCCCATCTCTTGAAGAATTTTCCACAGTTTCCTGTGATCCACACAGTCAAAGGTTTTGGCATAGTCAGTAAAGCAGAAATGGATGTTTTCCTGGAACTCTCTTGCTTTTTCGATGATCCATAGGATGTTGGCAATTTGATCTCTGGTTCCACTGCCTTTTCTAAAAGCAGCTTGAACATCTGGAAGTTCGTGGTTCATGTATTGCTGAAGCCTGGCTTGGAGAATTTTGAGCATTACCTTACTAGCATGTGAGATGAGTGCAACTGTGCGGTAGTTTGAGCATTCTTTGGCATTGCCTTTCTTTGGGATTGGAGTGAAAACTGACCTTTTCCAGTCCTGTGGCCACTGCTGTTTTCCAAATTTGCATATTGAGTGCAACACTTTCACAGCATCATCTTTCAGGATTTGAAATAGCTCAACTGAAATTCCATCACCTCCACTAGCTTTTTTCGTAGTGATGCTTCCTAAGGCCCACTTGACTTCACATTCCACGATGTCTGGCTCTAGGTGAGTGATCACAGCATCGTGATTACCTGGGTCATGAAGATCTTTTTTGTACAGTTCTTCTGTGTATTCTTGCCCCCTCTTCTTAATATCTTCTGCTTCTGTTAGGTCCCTACCACTTCTGTCCTTTATTGAGCCCATCTTTGCATGAAATGGTCCCTTGGTATCTCTAATCTTCTTGAAGAGATCTCTAGTCTTTCCCATTCTATTGTTTTCCTCTATTTCTTTGCATTGGTCACTGAGGAAGGCTTTCTTATCTCTCCTTGCTATTCTTTGAAACTCTGCATTCAAATGGGTATAACTTTCCTTTTCTCCTTTGCTTTTTGCTGCCCTTCTTTTAACAGCTATTTGTAAGGCCTCCTCAGACAGCCATTTTGCTTTTTTGCATTTCTTTTTCCTGGGGATGGTCTTGATTCCTGTCTCCTGTACAGTGTCACGAACCTCCATCCATAGCTCATCAGGCACTCTATCTATCAGATCTAGTCCCTTAAATCTATTTCTCACTTCCACTGTATAGTCATAAGGGATTTGATTTAGGTCACACCTGAATGGTCTAGTGGTTTTCTCCACTTTCTTCAATTTCAGTCTGTATTTGGCAATAAGAGTTCATGATCTGAGCCGCAGTCAGCTCCTGGTCTTGTTTTGCTGACTGTATAGTTATCTTTAGTTATCTGCCTGCCTAGTTATCTAGAGTTCCAGGCCTGGTTGTATCCCTGAAGGAGCCCAGACCACTGGGGAACAGGGATTGAACCAAAATAACTGATTTGTGGCCAACTAGGAGGGGCACCCCCGTCTCAGGCGCCAAACCCTACAGGGGAACAGAAAGAGTGCCACAGCAGGATGCCCCATCCCGCTCTGGACTCCTGACCTGCCTGGGTGCCCCAAAGACCCCTCAGTACCAAGTGTCCAAATCTGAGCTCCCATCTCCACCATCTCCTCCATCCCTTTCCCTCCCCACCTCAACAGCCCACTTGTGGCAGTGGCCCTGCCTCCATGCACCATGTGGCCTAGTTTCTTGGGCTTATCTCATTTCCCCTCTCTTGATGTGAAGGATAACTCCTGCCCACCTTCCAAAGTGCACTCACTCAGATACTCCCTCTCAGAGACGCTAGCCTGTGTGAGAGCCCCAGGCCTGGCTGCTGCCCCCATCACAGCACCGCTCAAGCTTTCTTGCCTCTCTGCTTCACCTATCAGGTGAGGCTGGGCCCCAGCATGCTGCCTGGCAGAGAAACTAAGGAGCTGGCAGTAAGAGAACAGCTTCTGGTACAAGGCAGAACCCTTGCATTGCCCTCTATGGCCTGTGTAGCCTTGAGTAAGTCCCTTTATTCTCTGTGCCTCAGGATCCCCGTATGTAAAATAAGGAGCAATAGGGAGCAGTGACACCTACCTCCAGAGGCTGTCCAAAAGACTAAATGGGATAATGCACGTGAAGTCCTTTGTGCACTGCCTTGGTGCTGGTATGGTTGGGTGCTTCTTGAGCTGCAGAAAGAAAGAAAGTGAAGTCGCTCAGTCGTGTCCGAGTCTTTGCAACCCCATGGACTGTAGCCCTCCAGACTCCTCTTTCCATGGAATTCTCCAGGCAAGAGCACGGGAGTGGGTTGCCATTTCTGTCTCCAGGGGATCTTCCTGACCCAGGGATCGAACCCGGCTGTCCTGCACTCTAGGCAGACGCTTTACTGTCTGAGCCACCAGGGAAGTCCATCATCAAATGAAAAGGCCAATATTGCCCCCTGTTGGTGTCAGAGGGAAATGCCACCATGGTCAGCAGAGAAGGAGCTCCTCTGTCCTCCCTCCCTGACTTCTCGCCCTCTTTTACCTGGATAAGTCCTTTGGCACAGGCCACTTGCATTCCCACCTGCAGCTGTGGCTTCACTGGATAAGAGCTTCTGGCCTCCAGCAGCTCTCAACCTGGCCGACCACTTCAGATTGAACTAGAGCTGTGGGTGGTTGAGGGTCTGGAGAGGGGCGAGGCTGCTGGCTGCAGAGGAGAAGCGGCTTGGAAGACCCCTGTGTGAATTTGCTGGGGCTTCCATGAAAGGGTTCCAGAAACTGGGTGGATTAAATAACAGAAATGCATGCTTTCAGAGTTCTAGAGGCCAGAAGTCCTAAATCAAGGAAGGTGTCAGTGGGGCTGTGTGCTCCTCCAAAGGCTCTGGAGTAGAGTATGTTCCAGGCCTTTCTCTCAGTTTCAGTCCTTGGCACCTCTTAGCGTGTAGATGCATCACTCCGACCTCTGCTTCTGCCATCACATGGCTGTCTTCCCTCTGTGTGTTTGTCCCCTTTCTATAACGCACCCTCTCTACACCAATACAATCTCATCATAAATGTTTACCTCTGCAAAGGCCCTATTTCCAAATAAGGTCACATTCACAGATACCAGGGGCTTCAGCACATCTTTTAGGAGGGACACAATGCCACCCATAGCAGGACCCATGGGGGCTGAGCCTTTAAGTCAAAATCGCTCAGGAGGCAAGCATTGAGGGAGAGGCACCAGCTGGGGCAGTGCTTGGTTCCTATTTCCTGTCTGACAGAACTAGAAATGCCGGGGAGAAGGTATGCTTTACTTGCCTGTGACATCCCCAAGTGGAACGTGTCCCTGCTCCCTGGCACAAAGGAGCAACAGGCTGTCTTCATGGTCATCATGAATGGAGATGGGCTAGATCAGAGCTACCCATGTGCACCAGGCCCCCTCTGGGCTTTTGTGTGTAGAGAAGCCCTGCCCACCGCAGCCCTTCCATTTCCTCTCATCATCTAAGTGTCCAGAAGCGACAGAGATGAGCAGCTCACTGACCTGCCCCCTCCAGGGGCTCCCTGTCTCCATTCTGCCCCCCACGCACCCCTCCTCCTCCTGGGACCCCCGAGTGTCCTTTCTGACATGCCTGATCATGTCAAGGCCCCACCCCCACCTCAAGCACATCTTGTGGACTTTCTTTGCCACAGCCGATCTGGCCTCTGTCTTTAAGAGCCCTGCCAGCCTCTTCCTCCTCCCACTGTCTCCCTCCAGTGAGTTTGGGCTCAGCTACTCCTCCATGAAACTTTCCAGGTGCCTTTGGGGCTTGATTTGGGCATGGCCCTACAGGTTACTTGTGTCAGCGCCCATGCCACTTGGCCCTCATCCTGTTCCCTGCTGGGCCAGGGGCTTCACCAGGGCAGGCCTGGGACTCACCCCTACCTGTACCCCGGTGGCCAGGGACAACCAAAAGGAGTGAGTGGCTGGAATGTGGACCTGATAGGTGTGGTTTGGAGTGAAGGAGAACCCCACAAAGCCAGAACGTTCTAGATTCCCTCCAGCCCTAACCATCAGCACAGCCAGATCCTCCTGGGTGTCAGGCCCTGCAGTGGGGACACAAAATCCAGTGGTATTGGAGGGCTGTGTGCAGTCATTCTCAACCAGGCTCTTAGCAAAGGAACGCTCAAAGGGACCTTCTGAGGGCTGAGAATGTCTGATCCTGCCCGGGTTCCAGCTCATGGGAACCTGCTCTCTGACCTTCAAGCCCTGAGTCTCCCCTTTCACTGGCTGTCACTCCAGGTTCAGCGTGTAGGTTTCCTGGGGCTCTTGCTCACCATGTGTTCCCATCAGCCCATGAACTCACAGATTGCCACTTTGGATGCTGCAGTGCGGCCACAGACAGGGCTCACCTCTGTACCCAGAAGGCCCCTCCCTGTGTCTGAAGAAAGCGGGGATCAAGAACACGAGACTGCTAAGGTCCCTTGGTCCCTTTCCTCTGGCACATGGAGGTCAGTGGCCTAAGCTCAGCTGCGGCACCAAGAAGACTCAAGTCCAAGGAGGAGACAAGAGAAAAAAAGGGAGGGACAAGGTCTGGGTGTCCCACTGCACTACCAGGAGGCTCCTGAGAGAGGACACTGTGGGACCTCCAGCACAGATGGGGAAGGGGAGGCCTTTCTTACCAGCAACTCTCTACCTCTCCTTTGGCTGCAGTGCAAAAGGCGAGGAGACTGTCCACCTACAGATCACAACACCTGGGGCAGGACTCCATCTGCTGACGCCACACCTGGAAGAAATGAGGTACACACGATTGTAGAGATGGGAGCAGCAGGGCCAGGCTGCAAGTGATGAGGTCTGCGGGCTGGTTGGTGGGAGAAATGAGCAACCTGGATTCTTTGCCCCATCCCATTTCACTCCAGAACTCCTGGGAGCAAGCACTTGGTTCCATGGGAGAACAGACGCAGCCCTGGGGACCCCCTGTCTGGAGTTGCTGACTGTCTGCTTGGTGGGGGGAGGCAGACACAGACACAAGTGAGGTCAGGCCTGAGATGCCAACCTAGCCATGTGCCAGGAGCCCCTGCAAGTGATGGCTCACTCTGCTTGGCCCTGAGGATGGGAGCAGCCAGCTGTACTGGGTGGGGATCTGGGCTTTGTGGAGCCCCGCCCCACCCAGGCCACTAAGGCAGTTGTGTGTGACTGGGGCCACCAGGAATGGGGCGGGGTCACTGGATCAGCCTCAACAGTTCAGGAGTAGGGGCGGTTCAGGGAGGTGCACAACCAGCAGGGAGCACAGTGGACCCAGGCTTACTCCCAAGGTAGGGGGCAGACAGGTAACATGCAGGCAGGGCTTGGAGGATGGGGGGATGGGTCCAGCAAAGCTGAGGTGGGAGCAATTGGAAATCTGAGCAAGGAGGGGAGACCCGGGGAGGGAGGGAGACTTCTGTGCTTCTCTGTGGCACTCTGACTCCTGCTCATTTAGCTACTCACCTGCCTCCATGCCAGCACCTGGGAGGCTGCAGTGAAGCAGACAGACTGGGACCCCACCTCATGACGCCAAAGTCTGGGGAGGGAGGCCAGAATGGACACCCAGGCTAATCCTTGGGGCAGTGGGAGCTCCAAGCAAGGGCCTCTCACCCGCACAGTGGTGGGGGTGGTTAAGGAAGGCTTTCTGGAGGAACTGACATCTAAAATGACTCCTGATGGATCTGTGGATCCCTTGACTCTCTTCCTTGGCTCCTCCCTCTCTACACCCCAGGCCCAGTCAGGCACTGAGTCCTGTCCATTCTGTTTTAGAGATATTTCTGTCCCTACTCCCTTCCCTGGGGCCAGGCCTCCTCTATCACTCACCCCATCCCAGAATCTTCATATTTCTACTTGGGTGCCATTTCTAAGGGCAGCAGTAGTCCTCTGCCAGGCCTGGGGAAAACCCCTGCAACATCCCCTTCCTTTTAGGCTCTGCAGCCTGAACTCTACCTTGCCTGATGGGGCCCAACCACCTCTTCCTGGCTCCCCTTATATACACTCCTCCGTGGACCTTGCCCTCCAGCCTTCCCCAGCCCCACTTGCATTGTCCAGTCTCAGCCAGGATGTCTCCCATCTGCTGAACCTCCTTCACCTGTGTGTCTTTCTGTGAAGGGGTTTCCATACTGAGCTCACCCAGAGGGTCTTCCACACAGAGTCATGACTGTCCACACATGGATGGCTCTGCCCCAAGAACCCAAGTTGCTGGAGAGCCCAGAGCCTGTCCCAGAACAGGATCACAGTAGCATTTATTGCTGGAATAATTGAGAATTACCCAGTGTGACAATGTCTTTAATATGGCAACACTGGAAGCTGCTTCACTGGTTTCCTTAAGGTGACAAGTACCTGGGAAACAAGGGCAAAGTGACCCTGAAAGACACAGGAGGAAGCCGGGTTGTCTCTGAGGAAGGTCTGCGCTGTGTGCCCCATAGGCCTCTGGCATTTTGTCTGGAAGTCCATTGAGATCCCCTGGAGTGCCCCCTCCAACTTTCCAACAGAAAGTCAAGTTGGAGAAAAGGAAGAAAGAAGGAAAACTCTTAATAGAGTTCACTAAGCCCTGCCTTGCCCCAAACAGCCAAGCCCATGTCCCCATGCAGGATGTAGATGCAATCACTGTGTCCATTTTACAGATGAGAAAACTGAGACCCTGAATGGTTCAGTAACTGCTAAGTCCCATGGCCAAGAGCAGGCAGATCCACAATTCCCACCTAGCCTGCCTGACTCCATCCCCACAGTTTTTGCTCCATAACTCACTACAGTAGTGGGGGCTAGGGGTAGAGGGCAGGGAGGGATGCTATACTTAGTACTTTACAAATTACTATTTATGATGACCTTACCAGGAGGCCTTTCACAGTTTGTGGTTGAGCTCTGGGAGAGAGGTCAGGGCTCAAGAGATTTCCATGTTCTATGTAGAAGGATGAGAGTAGAAATAATGGGGTTCAAGTTTGATGTTTATATGGGGTACAATGTCAAGGGGCTCGAGGAGAGAGGAGCCGGCAAACTGAGAACTGACCATATTGTGGAGGTGGTGGCTGCCTAGTCATTCCCCTGTAGGCAGCTGGGGAGGTTGGTCAGTTCTGGCCATGTTGAGGGTGAGCTTCCTGAGGGTGAGCCCAGGAAGTAGTGGGTATATGGAGAAGTGGGAAAAGGCAGATGTCATTGGCTTCAGAATGACAGTTGACACCATGGGAGCAAAGGAGGTGACCAAGATCAGTGGCAAAGCATGCAGATGGTGAGGAATTCCAGGAACACCAACATTTAAGGGGCAGAAGAGGAGAAATAGATGGAAGAGATATGGAAGGTGTGGCAAGGCAAGCAGGAAGCGGTGACACAGAGTCATGAAGGATGGATGGGGGAGAAAAGGTGGGAGTTACCCACTGGGTCAGTGGTCCTGAATGGTCACAATGACGGGAGTGTTTCTGTTGGGGTTGGCACCATGAGACTCCCTGATGACCTCAGAGAGAATACAGGGAGTTTGAATCAAAAAGGTAGGATCAATTTTTACCCCACAGAAGATTATAGTCCAAAACTCTGAAGAAGCCAGACTGCTTGGGTTCAAATCTCAGCTCTTCCCCTTGTTACTTGTGGAACTTGGGAAAAGTCACTCCAGGCCCTCTGTGCCTCAGTTTGCTCATTTGGAAAGTGGGCATGGATAAGAACAGTGACCATGCTGTGGGGTTGATGTGAAGAGCTAATGCATGCAGAGTCATGAGAATGGGGTCTGACTGTCAATCAATAGTAGTTGTTAGTAGATCCTGATAATTAGCCAATCCTGCAACATCAGGATTTAAGCTCTTTGGAGAAAGTTAGCATTTGGGGATGAGGTAGCTGCCCCCACTTAAGTGTGGGTGCTTAACTTCTGTTTCTTTCCACTTTAGGTCTTCCTCAGGTTCCAAAGACAAAGAGATCCCTCACCCCAGAGAGCCCAAGAGAAACTTGACTAGTGAAGGAGCCTTCAGGAGCCCTGATGCAGACTCTGAAAGGTAACTCAGTGCAGGGACCAGAGCCCATGTGGCCCCCCATCCAAGGTCAGTGGATGGAGCTGGGACCAGTGCTGTTCCATTCCTCACTGTGTCCCCAGTGTCTGGGGTGCAGGTCCTCAATGAATATCTGTTGAAAGAATGAATGAAGGAATGCATAAGGCCTTGAGAAGGGTAGGCCTCTGCCAAGATCCCTCAGGGAACCACTTGGACAAAACTCTAGAGGAAGACAAAACTGTAGGCCAGGCCACCCCAACCCCAGTCCTCAGCCCAACCTCATTGTGCCTTTACTCCATGGAAAGCAACCTTGTGGACAGCCACGGCAAGCAAGGCCCTGAGCTGGAGGTTTAGGGAAGTCAGTGATCAAAGGATGTATGGGCCCTTGCAGAGCATCTCACAGGGACATCCAGGATGGCCTGTGGACAAAGGGCGATGTGGAAGGGGTGCAGGGGTGGGAGGCAGAATGATAGCAGGGAATGACGAGTCCAGAAGGGCTGGTTGTGCCCAACATCATGCAACCATCCAACCCACCTCTCCCTGAAGCCCAACCAGGGGAGCCTGGGTGTGGTGGGCAGGGGCTGAGAGTTGGGCACGTCCTCAGTGAGAAGCTGGTATCTAGTAATGGAGAAGAGCCTACAGGCTTGTCCACCTGCTATCGCCTTCTTATTGTGGAACCTCAGCCCTGGGCTCTGTGGTTTATTAGTGGCCCCAACCGTTTTGTCCTTTGTTCTGTTGGTCATGCCCCCGCCCTCCTCCCATTGTGCCCCCTTGCTCTGTGTCTTGGCTCCACTCTTGCTCCCAGCCCATCAATTTTGGGATGAAAGCTAAAATAGTGCTGGTATCATCTTGGCTTCTGTTGAAGCAGTACAGGGTGGCAACTGAAGGCCTGGGCTTCTGGTCCTCGAGGACTGCTCTCAGGATGCCTGAAAGTGAAAGTCACTCAGTCGTGTCTGACTCTTTGCAATCCCATGGACTATATAGTCCATGGAATTCTCCAGGCCAGAATACTGGAGTGGGTATCCTTTCCCTTCTCCAGGGAATCTTCCCAACCCAGGGATCGAACCCAGGTCTCCTGTATTGCAGGTAGATTCTTGACCAGCTGAGCCACAAGGGAAGCACATTAAATTAAATTAATTTATATTAATTTAAGTAAAATTAAATTAAATCCCATTTTTCCAGTGGTCATGTATGGAGTGTTGGACTATATGAGAGTTGGACTATAAAGAAAGCTGAGCACCGAAGAACTGATGCTTTTGAACTGTGGTGTTGGAGAAAACTCTTGAGAGTCCCTTGGACTGCAAGGAGATCCAACCAGCCCATCCTAAAGGAGATCAGTCCTGGGTATTCATTGGAGGGACTGATGTTTAAGCTGAAACTCCAATCCTTTGGCCACCTGATGCAAAGAGCTGACTCACTTGAAAAGACCTTGATGCTGGGAAAGATTGAGGGCAGGAGGAGAAGGGGGCAACAGAGGATGAAATGGTTGGATGGCATCACCGATTCAATGGACATGGGTTTGGGTGGACTTCCAGGAGTTGGTGATGGACAGAGAGGCCTGGCGTGCTGTGGTTCATGGTGTCACAAAGAGTTGGACACGACTTAGCGACTGAACTGAACTGAACTGAATTAAATTACATCAAATCAAATTTACATTAAATCATTAAATTACATTAAATCAAATTTACATTAAATCAAAACCCAGTAAATCAGCAAATGTTTCTTTTCCCATCCAGATCAAGTGCACAGTCAAGTGATGGCAACACGGGATTGGAAGCCATGGGCTCCCCAGCTGAAGACTTGGTTGGAGCAGACGTCAGCTCTGGGAAAGGAGGGTGAGCTACCCTGGGGAGGCCAGTGGCCCCAAGTTGCTGATTCTTTTATGTTCCTGGTGACAGTCTGGGGTCAAGCCTCCACGGCTGCTTGGGTTGCTGGGGGCAGAGCACTGCTCATTTTCCATAGTCCTGCCCACTGCTTCTCCCATCTCCAGCACTCCCACCACCACCACATCCTTTGTCCCTGGACTTTCCACTCCCGAGATTTACCTCTCCTTGAATCTTGTTTCTTCTCCTACTCTCTTCCACTGGCTCTCAAGTTCCTCCCAAGTAGGCACAAGGTAGACATGGGGAGCTAGGTTGATCTGTGGGAATCACTGCCTTCCTGATTATTAGCTGAGCTCTAAGGGCAAGCTAGAAGGAAGTCCTTCATCTCTGCTTTTTGCCCTTCCCTTCCAGAAGCCCCAAAGTCTCCTCCCTACCCCCATCTTCCTCCTCTGGCCAGCTATGCTCTCAGGTTCAGTGAATGGAAGAGCAGTGGCCAGAGAAAAAGTGGGAGATGAGTGTATCCACCTGGGCTCTGACTTCTTGGACTTGGATGGAGTCAGGGCCCATTTTCTCAGGTGGTTTGTGGAGTGGCAAGGTCCCACCTGTCTCCAAGTGGTTCCAAACCAAGCATAACTCTTCCTGGGGGGAAAAGTCCAGGTGTGCAGATGTTGGCAGAGATAGTTCAGCTTGTCCAAGCTGTACTAGAGCCCTCATGGTTCAGAGCAGATGGCCAGAGAGGAATGGCAAAAGTGATGCCTGCAGAGAGCCACTAAAGCACTTGCCAGCCAGCACCCCTGCCCTACAGCAGTCTGTCCGAGGAGAGACTCCTTTGCTTTCCCAACTGGTCCTTTCAGCTGCCCCTACTTGTCTGGGCCCACCAGGAGCCTCTGCCCTCCCTAGGGTTACTAGTTTGCAACTGGTGCCTGAACCCTGACCCCCACTTCCAAATCAGGAGCACAAGCCCACCTGGGAAGAGTATGGCAGGCTGGGGCGTCTGGTGCCAGGAAAGCCCATGGGGCCAGGGCCTTGGTTCTCTGAGCTTCCCATAGTGGGGAGGGCTATGCAAGAGCCCCACACCTGCAGCCAGTGTCATGGTGCTAGCCAGCACGGTTCTGCAGGTTGACTCTATTCTCTGGTCCAACATTACTGGACTTGGTTCTTGATTACTTCATCTTCAGATATTTATCCAGATCATCCTTCTTGCGTATGCCCCGTGACAAATTGAAGTCTTTGATTTCTGTTTTCAGTTTCTTTAAAATGAAGCTGAAGCTCATATTAACTTGCAGAATTATCTGAAGGATCTAGATTTTTATGACTTTTAATGCAGTGTTTTACACTGTCTCTTCTATAGTTATTTTGACAATGACTGTTAAGAGACTTGCTTTTATGATCTTTCTAAAGAAAAAGTTGTTTGTCATGAACAAAAAAGCACTCTCCTTTTCCATTCATTTTCCTGAGTTTACTTAATAATTGAATTCAGTGATTATGGTGGGTTTGGGACGAACACAAGGTGGAGTGTGCAGGCTAGTACAGGTGACCAGGTGCTCCATGAGCCCTGACTTTGCGGAGTGCTATGATTCATGCAGAGACAGAGAACTCAGCCTACACCTGGGAAGGTTGCATAAGACAGCACCCACTGAATCTGTATCAAACTGACGGGCAAAGACAGACTGCAAATGGTTGCTGCTTCTACAGATAGCCACAGGGCCCAGTAATAATCACAGGAGCATTTTAGCATGTGTTAGGGCCCAGACTGATGCTGAAGTTGAAGCTCCAGTATTTTGGTCACCTGATGTGAACAGCCGACTCATTAGAAAAGAGCCTGATGCTGGGAAAGATTGAGGGCAGAAGGAGAAACATTGAGGGCAGAAGGAGAAGACATCATCAGAAGATGAGATGGCTGGATGGCATCACCAATGCAATGGACATGAAATTGGGAAAACTTCAGAAGATGGTGAGGGACAGGGTGATGCTGGGAAAGACTGAAAGCAGGAGGAGAAGGAGATGACAGAGGATGAGATGGTTGGATGGCATCACCTACTTGATGGACATGAGTTTGAGCAAGCTCCAGGAGTTGGTGATGGACAGGGAAGCCTGGTGTGCTGCAGCCCATGGGGTCGCAGAAAGTCAGACATGACTGAGTGAGTGACCTGAACTGAACTGAGGGAGGTTTGGCATGCTGCAGCCCATGGGGTCGCAAAGAGTCAGACATGACTGAGTGACTTAGCATACTTGCACACACACTGTTCTCAGTAAATGTATGAGGCAGACACAGTTATCACCCCATTTCAGAAGCCACTGTCTTGGGGGGAGTAGACATAAAGACACAAAGTCCTGAACCAAGACCAGGTTTGGACTCCTTCCACAGGCCGTGCTCACCTGCTGGCTTCACCCCTCTCCTGGATGATCAGGAGGTGCCCAGTGCCAACTCACAACCTTGCAAGCCTGCACCAGCAACCATCAGGTAAGGGTGGGCCAACTGCCCAATGATCAACCTCTTTGCCTCTGGCACTTCAGGTTCCCCCTCGCATTTCTCAGCTCTATGACATCTTCACATCAGGCAATCACCACAGGACAGGGAAGCCTAGAAGGGGCCTTGACATAGAAGTTAGCCCACCCACTGGGGGCAGTGGGAGAGAAGATATGGGTGATAAGTCAGGTGACCCAGACAACTTAGCACATAGCCACAGGGACTCAAGCTGAGGTGGCAGAGAAGAACGCATTGGGAGGTGGAGCTTAGAAAGAGACCCTGCTCGGAGGAGTCAAGGGGAAGAATCCCAGGGACAGCCAGTAGAGGGCTCAGTCCCAGGGAGCCTTTGAGGTGGCTGGGGGAGGTGCAAAGGTGCAATGGAAAGAGGTTGTACATTCCCAGGCTGCACGCTTCTCTGCCCTATTTGATCTACCAATCCACCAGTGGAGAGAAGCCATTTTGCTATGGATTTGTGGAGCATTTAGTAAGTAAAGATCTTTCTGGATTTCCACAGAGCCCCAGGAAATGTAAGTCATGCAAAGATGCTGGAACCCAAAACTAGCAGGACACTTCCCTAGGGATTCCAAGCTGGTCATGACCAGTGCTTAGTCTTGAACTGGGGTGTTAAGGCCACAGCCAGGGCTCACAGGATGCTCTAACTCACAGCAGCCTTTATTGGCACACATAGGTCCACCTTTCCCATGAGAATGCAGCTAGGAAAGGGAAGACCCGGGCCCCCAGTCTTCTTTGGTCTGAGGCTTCAGCAGGCCTGTGTGCTTCCTCCCTCAGCTCTGATGCCATTTCGGCCTCTGCTGTCCTGCACAACAGGAAGAGCAACAGCCTGGCAGACCTGGAGGATGTGGAGACAAATCCAAAGGGGTAAGGCATCAGCCAACAGTGCTTCTGTGGTGGAGAGATGCAGCTCAGGTATGCATTAGCCCTTGGCTGGGTAGGTGAGATCAGTGATGCCTACTAGCCAAAGGGATGTGGGGAGGGCTGAAGCTCCAGCTACAAACCTCTGGCCTGTGCCTGCGAGGCCATAGAGCCTCCCAGTACACCTTGTTGTATCTAGCCAGGAAGTCCTCCATAACCAGGAAGTCATCCACTCTTTTGGTTAGTACTCACTCGGACGGCACCTACCCTGTCCTGGAGGTTGGAGCACATAGACAAAACCCAGCCAAGACGGGAATAGAGGAAGTGGGGCCTAACACAGCCTTGTGCGACAGGTGATTTTGAGCTGGATTTTGAAAGGTAAATAGGAATCCTCCAAGCAGAGGGGACAGTATATACATAAGACTCCAAACAACCTGGTATTTACTTGGCACTGTATGTAGCTGAGTGTGGAACAGGCTTGTCACAGTAGGCATGGGCTGACTGGCCTTTAGTACCAGATATCATTAATAATCACAACAACTACTTCACTTTGGGGTGCCTCCTGTGTGCACAGTCCCGTACTTAGTTTCTCATACAGTCCTCCTCACAATTGTGAGCTTTGCACCTAATTATAATGAAGAACAAAGGACTAGAAGTCACATCTCTGTGACTCCTGGGAAGAACAGTGCTCTGAAAGAAATAACCAAGTTGCTAAGATAAGAAAGTAATGGTGGTGAGGAGGGTACTACTTAGATGAGTGGAGTGGGGCGATGATTCAGGAGAGCTCCTCTAAGGAGGAGAAGGAACTAACAACTCAAGGAAGAGCAAGGAGAAAAGAACTGGAGATGGGGAAACATAAACTAAAAAACTCTGCTGTGGGAACACTTAGCAGGTTCCAAAGTATCAAGTAGCTGGAGCCAACCTGGTGAGGGGGATCATAGATGGAACTGGGCCCTGGTAAGCCATGAGACGGAGACTGCATCTTATTTCAATTTTTAAGCCAGAGAAGGACATGGTCTGATTTAGGTGTTTAAAAAGTGAGTGAATTCCTGCAATGTTACACCTCATTACAGCTACTTTTTTTTACACTTGTCACCCCTACATAAACCACGATGCTGGGGGTTGGGTGGGCAACAGATCTCTAAGGTATGAGGCCCTATTATGTGACTTTTTTTTGTTTTGAATTTAACTGAAAGTTAACAGAGTGAAAGCCAAAACTGACACCTGTTACCATATTTGGGGAGGGTCAAAGAGGACCCTCCTGTGGGCCTCAGTTCTTGGTAAGGGCCCAAAGAAGAATCTGAGGTCTTACCCATGGCAAAAGAAAGTTTATTAAGGAAAAAACAGAAAGAACACCTCAACTGAAACATGGGCCAAGCCAAGAGAGGCACTGGCAACAGAATAATGAAGTACAGGGGTTTTTCAATACAGAGGGCTTTTACATATTCACCTAGACCAGCATGGACTGACAGTTTTGATTGACAGTTGGAAGTTGCATAACAACAGGCTCTATCACACATTCTTTCCCATAATTCAGTCTGTTATAATCATGTATATATGTATAGATAGATGTATGTATGTATGTATGTATGTATGTATGTATGTATAGAATATTTATGAACCCTCAGTGGACTCCTGGATGCCTAAGGTTACTTGAGGACACACCTGCACATCAAGGGCATATGTGAGGGAATTGAAAAAGCCCCTGTGGGCTTTGTATGGACTGTCTGCCTAGGGCACATGTGCTAGAGCTGGAAAAGTGTGGTTATTTTGTAGTATGTCAGTGAGCTCTCCTGGGCCACAGTGGCACATGTCTGGGGTGGGGTTTAGACAGCAGCTTGAATTATCCATTAACTTATATAATATTCCTCAAACCTAGGGAAGGATCTTGCTTCTTGCTATGCAATTTGACAGTGGAGGAAACAGAGGGCTCCTGTGAAGAGCAGAGCTAGGGATAGAGCTCAGACACGACTAACTCTGGGTTTCCCTTGTAGCTCAGTGTAAAGAAACCGCCAGCAATTCAGGAGACCCAGGTACAATTCTTGGGTCTGGAAGATACCCTGAAGGAGGGAATGGCAATCCATTCCAGTATTCTTGTCTGAAGAATTTCATGAACAGTAGAGCCTGGCAGGCTATAGTCCATGGGGTCGCAAAGAGTCAGACATGACTGAGTGACTAACATTTTCACATGGCTAACTCTTTTACTCTGCTTAAAAGTTTGCAAAATCAAAACAAACTTTATTGATCAGTGTTTCACAACTCTGGCTGCATTTGATAACCACCTGGGAAGTTTTTGTTTTTTTTTTTAAGTATCCAGAACCCATGCAGAGATTTAGACTTAACTGCTCTAGGGTAGTGGTTCTGAACCCAGGGCATCTCCCCCACCTCCAACCCCCGAGTCGCGTGGCAATGTTTGGAGACACTGCTGATTGCCACAAATGGGAAAGGGTGTTACTGGCAAGTAGTAGGTGGAGACCAGGGATGCTGCCCAATGGCTGACAGCGCACAGGACAGCTCCCATCACAGTTATCCAGTCCAAAATTTCAATAATGGCGAGGCTGACAAACGCTGTCCTAAAGCTGATCTCTACGGAAAGTCAGAAGATACGGGCTGGGAAGAAAAAACGGCGCACACACTCCCTACCTTCGCTGCAGGTAGCTGAGCAGTGGGCGCAAAACGTACGCGCCTGCACATGCGCACACCTGCGCCCCTTTGGCTCTAGGCCAGCGAGAGGCCTTCCAGTGTGCGCCTGCGCATGCTGGCCCTGGGGGTGGGGGGGAGGTGAACGTATAAGTCCAGCTCCTGTGCGCCTGCGCGCGCCGCCATTTCCTGCGGCTATGTGCTCGCGTCGCGGTGCTTGTCGGGAAATGCGACAGTCCACGCTTCGAAATGGCTACCCTGGGCGAAAGAAGCCTTGGCGGCGGTTCCCGTAAACGCCGCCAGATGGCGCGCGAGGATCACAATTTTGCCTGGCTGCCCATCTTGGGCGCCTTGGGCTCTCGCTGCCCATCCCCCGATGGTCTGAAGGATCTGGGTGGGTCACCCGCATGGAGTTGATGCAGGCCTCCTGAACCCGAGTGCAGCATCACCACAGTGCAGGCGGAGGCGGGAGAGAGGAAGGAAGCTGGGTGCCTGCAAAGATCCGAAGGGGCTGTTTGGTGAGCTGCCCTGGTGGTCTCTGGACCCCAGAGACTGGTCTTCAGAGGTGGCCGCGGCCAGGACCCATGGACACGAGGGGAGGGCGGCTCGACCCTTCAACCCCGAGGGACCCTGGGCGGACCTGCCAACTCAGGGCGCTGGGGCTCCGTGGGGAGAGGACGTCATTATCAAGAGGTCGAGGAGGGAGGTGGACAGGTTGGGTGGTCCAATCTGCATAGCAGTGCCTTTGTCCCAAAGTTGAAGAACTGCGCTAATCTGACTTTGGTTTTGCTTCATCACAGTACATGACAGGTACAGGAAGAGGTTGTATAGTGTAGTGAGCATGAGCTCCTATGCCTGGGCTCTAATGTAAGCCCTGTCCCTTACTTGCTGTGTGGCCTTGGGTATCTTACTCATCTCTGTGCTTCAGTTTTCTTACCTGTAGAATAGTGGCAAAAATACATCCTACCACGTAGGGCTGTTGCGAGGGTTAAATGGTTTTGTGTGTAGGTCATTTCCTGGCACAAAGTACTACATACATGTTGGAGTCTCGTTTTATTAAAAGTTAAAGCTAAATAACCAGTCCCAGAGGAATACCTCTTTCCACCAGAACTATCTAAGGACATGGGGAGTGCTCACCTCTGATCCTCTTTTCCAGGTTTATTGGCCTGACTTCATTTAATGAGACACAGAGTCGCTCACCCCTTCACCAGTAAATTTTTGTCATTAGACTCTACATCTAAAGCATATGCTGTTTTCCTCTGTGTTGCAAGTCTGGGTTTTTCAGGTTTATGTTCTCTCTGCATTAGGAACAGGTGGACTTTAAGCACATATATTCACTGTGGACAACTGCAGTCAATCATTGGAAGAGTCTAATGGAGGTACTGCAAGAGTGGAAGGAGCTGTTGTCTTCCATGTAAAGAATATGACTGTGTCAACAGTTGGCAGTAGCTGGACTAGGCTTCCAGATTTTTGATCTAGTTACAGCCAGAAGTATTATAATACATTTACTATCTCTAAACACTTGACTTCTAGGCAATGTATTAGGGGCCAGGAGGACTTCTGGGTTGTTATATTGCTCAGCAAGACTTCTTGTGACTGTGTTACTAAAATTTATTTTTCATGGGTCAGGTAAGGTTATACCTTCTATAATTGTAGTGACTCTGCTCTGAGGCTTAGGGAAAAGCAGCTTTATTCATCGACTTGTCCCTGTGTCACAGTAGACATTCAAATTGCTCTTTGCTGAGAATCTTGGCTTTATTCACAAGCTTGGTGAGGAAAACTTCTATTATCATAATCCTATTGGAGCCATGGGTTGGTACAGGACTCTGATTGAGTAAAGTTAGCTCATGGGGTTCTCACGGCAAGAATACTGAGAACTAAAGAGCCTCTTGATGAAAGAGTAGAGTGAAAAAGCTGGCTTAAAACTCAACATTCAAAAACTAAGATCATGGTATCTGGTCCCGTCACTTCATGGCAAATAGATGGGGAAACAATGGAAACAGTGAGAGACTATTTTTTGGCCTCCAAAATCACCACAAATGATGATTGCAGCCGTGAAATGAAAAGATGCTTGCTCTTTGGAAGAAAAGCTAAGACCAACCTAGACAGCATATTAAAAAGCAGAGACATTACTTTGCCAACAAAGGTCATTCTAGTCAGAGCTATGGTTTTTCCAGTAGTCATGTATGGATGTGAGTTGGACTATAAAGAAAGCTGAGTGCTGAAAAATTGATGCTTTTGAACTGTGGTGTTGGAGAAGACTCTTGAGAGTCCCTTGGACTGTAGGGAGATCAAGCCAATCAATCCTGAAGGGAATCAGTCTTGAATATTCACTGGAAGGGCTAATGCTGAAGCTGAGGCTCCAATACTTTGGCTACCTGATGTGAAGAACTGACTCATTGGAAAAGACCCTGATGCTGGGAAAGATTGAAGGCAGGAGGAGAAGGGGATGACAGAGGATGAAATGGTTGGATGGCATCATTGACTTGATGGACATGAGTTTGAGCAAGCTCTGGGAGTTGGTGATAGACAGGGAAGCCTGGTGTGCTGCAGTCCATGGGTCGCAAAGAGTTGGACACGACTGAGAGACTGAACTAAACTGAACTGAAAGCTAGCTCAGGGCTTCCAGAGTCAGGGAACATGCTCTTTAGGCCTTTTTGGTTTGTCATTGACTCAAGCCTATATGTCATAGGCAAAGGTGGGGTGAGTCTGTCAGGGTATTCTGCTGGCTAAGGGAGTGGCACTATTGGAGAAGAGCATGCTCTCCAAAAGTTATGAGTTCTGCTCCTCTTGTTATTCCAGCTTGAAGGCAGTGAGTCTGCCTACCATGCAATTAACTTCCATGAATAAAGAATCCCAAGGCTGGAGGTAGCTGCTGGTATGATCTTCTTGCCCTAATATAGCCCTACGAGCAATTGGAGGCAGGCTGCTGATTGGCAGGTTTGAATTCAGGATGGACCACGATCAAGGTGATGGTGAACTAGATAGTCATTTTCTGGAATGCTAGGCTCATGTTCTCAATAACCTGACTCAGTCTTGGCCACTGGCCTAGTGGGCGTATGAAATGTTTGGTGCCTGAGGCCATCAGGCACCAGCACCATCACACAGTATGTGGAGGAGGCACCAATGAGGAGAACAAAGCCCTTGGAAGCATGCCAGGATGGGGATGACGATGGGAGGGATGTGCAAGTATAGGTGTGACGTCAGGTCAGGAAAGATAGAAGATCTTCCAAAGAACTTGATACTGAGGACAGCTGGGAGGTCACTGCCTCCTTGCTGGATTCAGAGGGTGGCAAAAGCATCTGGGCTCAGGCTTCATCTTATACAGGGACAGCCTTTGTCAGTTGGAGGGGAGCAGCGGTGCTGCAGTCCTCCTGAGGAGGACATGAGTGCTCCCTGAGGTGGGGGCCATGCCAGACTCCTTCCCCCACCTCTGGGAAAGGAGCCTGCTGTGGTCACAGAAGGAGATATGGGTGTGCAGTGGATGATCAAGGACTCATTCTTCCTCAGCACCTTGGTGGTTTTTGAGGAGAAGAATGTGGTCACCAGGGTGGGAGAGACGTGGCAGGGGAGGCCCGGAGTCCTGCAAGATGATCAAGGAGACCCAGTTGTACCCACCCAGCAGTGCACAGACCCCAGCACCTCGGAGCAGAGCAGCCCCAGAAATCCTGAGCAGCGCCTGGAAGTGGACAGCCCGGCCAACAGGTAAGGGCTACTCTGTGCCAGGCTTCTGCTAGCCTGCCTGAACTGTAGTTTTTTCAGGGGCCATGACCAAGGTAGGACCCACTTTTGCCCCACATGCATGCCAGTGCCTGGCACATTGCACACCTAGCTACTCAGGCTCCTGCCTGGTGAATGCAGTTAGAATGGTGACCCCTGGGCATGGAGCAGTGTCAAGGGGCTCCCTTTGGCAGAAGGAACTGAGATGGAGCCTGTGATGGGAGCAGTCATCTGTTCCCAGAGGTAAGAAACCCTGGCTAATTTCTTATGTGTGGAGGAGGAAGAAGGTCTCCCAGATATAGGAGCACCACAGGTCGGGGCAAGGGTGGTCCCAGGTAAGATGAGGGCTATATGTATGTGTAAAAAGGCTCTGTCAGATAATTAGAAAGGATGGGGGGAAGGGGAGACTGTGAAAGAGTACAACAAGGTGAAGCAGAGAGAGAAGGTCACAGTGACAGGGGGAAAACAGGAGAGTGCAAGCATATTAGAGAGGTGCCCTGATACTGGCAGTAAAGGTGGGGGTGGGATTATGATTGGTGATGTGTTGGTGTGTGGTATGCATAAGTGACAGGGCAGGTGTAATTGTCACTAGAGGTGACTTTGTGGTGTGGGTGTGTGGTGTTTAACTCAAGGCTTTCCTGATGGCATCTGCCTGGCTGAACATTACATTCGTGCTCTATAAAGCTTATGGATGTGCTGACCGATGGTTGAAACACAGCAGGTTTGTATTGCTTGGATATTTCATGGAGAACAAATGAAAGCACTTATCACTTCTGCAGATCCAAGCAAGAGAGAAATGCTAGAAGGGAACACCGGAGTGTTTCACCAACCCAGGAGACAGGGAATAGTAGCTGTAGCTCCTATTGCAGAGACAGATAAAATAAAAACTTAAAGCTCAATGTTGAAAAAACTAAAATCAAGGCACCCAATCCCATCACTTCATGGCAAATAGATAGGTAGAAAATGAAAACAGTGGCAGACTTTATTTCTTGAGCCCCAAAATCACTATGGACGGTGACTGCAGCCATGAAATTAAAAGACATTTGCTCCTTGGAAGACAAGCTATGATAAACCTAGACAGTGTACTAAAAAGCAGAGACATTGCTTTTCTGACAAAGGTCCATCTAGTCATGGTTATGATTTTTCCAATAGTCATGTATGGATGTAAGAGCTGGACCATATAGAAGGCTGAGTGCTGAAGAATTAATGCTTTTGAACTGTGGTGCTGGAGAAGCCGCTTGAGAGTCCCTTGGATAGCAAGGAGATCAAACCAGTCCATCCTAAAGGAGATCAGTCCTGAATATTCATTGGAAGGACTGATGCTGAAGTTGAAGCTCCAATACTTAGGCCACCTGATGCAAAGAGCTGACTCATTGGGAAAGACCCTGATTCTGGGAAAGATTGAGGGCAGGAGGAGAAGGGGGTGACAGAGGATGAGATGGCTAGATGGCATCACCGACTCAATGGACATGAGTTTGAGCAAACTCCAGGAGATAATGAAGGACAGGGAAGCCTGGCGTGCTGCTGTCCATGGGGTTTAAAGAGTTGGACATGACCAAGAGACTGAACAACAATCTTCATGATGCTGGGGTTCTTATACATAAAGTTACCATACTTAAATAGGAGGCTATTTTTAGTGCCAGGCTCACGTGTTAGATGTAACAGGTTTTCTTATTTAAGAATATCCAACTGGTCTTTGATTCCTTTTGCCCATCTTTGACTCCAGGCCCTGTAGGGGCCCAGACCAAGATATTGAATGGACAACTCTGGACTTTGTGCCACAGTACTCAGTGTGCTCTCTGGTTAGACAGGGTGTAAAAAAATGCAGCCTGTAGGTAAAGGAGGAGGTGATTGGGCTTTGGGTGGGGGGAGTTAGGGTGGATGTCAAGAGAGTCTTTCTTTATAGGTGGGATGAGGTTGAAGCTGGAAGACTTTGCCAGAAAGATAGATACATTGTGACGGAAATATAGACTCAGGGTGGCTGCAGTGAAGGAAGGGTTAATGGTTGGCTTGGTGGAAAGTGATGAGTGAGGCTGGGCAGGCACCTACTCCTAGACTGATGAGCATGACCCACATTCTGAGGGCCCCAGGCGCCACTGACAGGTTTTGCAACGGAGAATCTAAAGACCAGACATGACAAGCGGGGTGGATATACAGCAACACAAGGGAGGAGACCAGTCAAGAGGCTGTTTGCTCAGCCAAGAGATAGCCAACAAGTTGCCTTATCAAAGGTAAAGGTGAAGGAAAGCGGTAGCCAAGGCTGCTCCCAAGATTTCACGTTTGAGCAACTGTGTGTAGTGATGGCCCCAAGGTTTGATAAGAACTAGCTGACGGCTGGTGCGGTTAGTGGGGATTGATGTGCAGAGATGTGATAAGGTCATTTGGGCCTGTGAGGATGAGTGTATGCTGAGTCCTGGGAGTTCTAGTGAATCACTGACCCTGAGGGTGGTCTTACAAATACCAGCACACTACCCACTACATCAACCCAATAAAGGACAAAAACTGTGATCAAAAGCACAGGTGGGCAGGGTCAGAACCTTATGCCATAAGGACTTGGACTTTCTGCAGAGAACAAAGAGCCAAGAAGATTTCTTTTTAAATTGTTATAAAATACACAGAACATAAAAATTACCATCTTAACCATTTTAAAGTATGCAGTTAAGTGGCATTAAGTACATTCATAGTGTTGTGCAGCCAATATCCAGACCTTTTCCATTAAACAACATCTCCCCATCCCCTCTACTCCAAGCCCCTGGCAACTTACCATCCTACTTTTTGCCTCTATAAATTTACTACTATAGATACCTCATAGAAGCGGAACTATACAGTATCTGTCCTTTTGTAACTAGCACCTTTCTCTTAGTCTTAATGTCTTAAAGGTTCATCAGTGTAGCATATCAGGATTTTCCTCCTTTTTAAGACTGAATAATATTCCATAATGTGGACATACTGCTTTTTGTTTGTCTACTCATTTGTCAGTGGACACTTGGGTTGTTTTCACATTTTGGCTATTGTGAATAGTGCTGCAATAAATATGGGTGTACAAATATATTTTCAAGATCCTGCTTTCCGTCCTTTTGGGTATATATGCAGAGGTGAAATTGCTGGATCATATGATAACTTTATATTTAAGTTGTTTTAGGAACCACTGTACTGTTTTTCCATAGCAGCTGTAGCATTTTCCATTCCCACCTACAGAGCCAGAAAAGTTTTAAGCAGATGATTGATGTGGTCAGATTTGTGCTTTACAGTTATCTATGGTGTCAATGAAAAGAATGGACTTAAAATGGGCAGGTACAGGCAGGGAGAAAAGCTTGGAAGTTGTTCCAGTCCTCCAGGTAAGAGATGATGAGGCCCTGTCTAGGATAGCAGCTGTGGAGATGGAAACAGAACTGTTTAATAAGAATAATGAACCCAGAATTTGGGAAGCAATGAGGAAGAGAGAAGTGTCAAATCAGAAAGTACGTGGCTAGGTGGAGTATGTAACCCCTCCTGGTTCACGTGGTGGAGCAACTCTCCAAGTTGCCACTGCACTTCCTGGAGCCATCTGAACAAATGCCCACTTCACAGGCATACCAAGCCAAGGCAGCAGTCTCAAACGAGTCAACAGACAAGGGCACCTGAGGCAAGGCTCTGCCTTCTAGGTGTGGCTGTGGACAAGCCCTCTTTACAGACCCAAATAATTCTCCATGTCCAGTCTTTGGGTCCAGTCACTGGCATGGTATCTCAACAGAGTAGGTTTATCAGATAATGTGGCATTTGGAGTTTGTGGGCCAGGGAATTAAGGGCCACTTACTCCTCATAGTCTCAAGTAACAATCAATTCCTCAGCCCCAGCCTGGACATATGTCAGAAGGAAAGGTAGTCTATGCACCCTTCTAGTGGATGCGGCTTGACTAACCTGGGATTCCAAGAAGCACAGAAGAGGGCAGAGTGAGAACTGCAAGGACACAGGCAACAATAACAACAGAATTGTGAAGGACAGTTGGATGGAGGATAGAAAAAAATCCAGTCAGGATCTTAGAATGTCTGAATTGGCCAAGTTAGAGTAGTTGAGAGCTGAGACAAAATAGAGAATTCTTATGTGTGGGTTGCATATAATTTCACATAGGGACAGTTGGTATGGCCCAGCAGAAGAGGACCAGAGGACAGTTATTGCCAAGGGTAAAATCTCAGGCTGTGGGAGATTGTTTTTCCATCAGCTTAGCAAGCTTTAATTTTTCTATTGTATAATTTTATTATCTTCATTATCTCCACCATAGTTTGGTCTCAGGTCAAACAACAGGGAGGAAACACAGTCCCACCCATCAACAGAAAATTGGATTAAAGACTTACTGAACATGGCCCTACCCATCAGAACAGACCCAGTTTCCCCCACAGTCAGTCTCTCCCAACAGGAAGCTTCCATAAGCCTCTTATCCTTATCCATCAGAGGGCAGAGAGAATGAAAACCTCAACCACAGAAAATCAAACTGATCACATGGACCACAGCCTTGTCTAACTCAATGAAACTATGAGCCATGCCATATAGGGCTACCCAAGACAGACGGGTCATGGTGGAGAGTTCTGACAAAACGTGGTCCACTGGAGAAGGGGAGGGCAAACCACTTCAGTATTCTTGCCTTGAGAATCCCATGAACAGTATGAACAGGCAAAAAGATAGGATAGTGAAAGATGAACTCCCTAGGTCAGTAGGTGCCCAATATGTGACTGGAGAAGAATGCAGACATAACTCCAGGAAGAATGAAGACATGGAGCCAAAATGAAAACAATGGCCAGTAGTGGATGTGGCTGGTGATGGAAGTAAAGTCCAATGATGTGAAGAGCAACATTGCATAGGAAACTGGAATGTTAGGTCCATGAATCAAGGTAAACTGGAAGCAGTCAAACAGGAGATGGCAAGAGTGAACATCAACATTTTAGGAATCAGCAAACTAAAATGGACTGGAATGGGTGATTTTAATTCAGATGGCCATTATACCTACT